GATCTGAGGGAAAAAATATACAGAGAAAAAATCCACATGACATTTATATTTTCCATTCTGTGTTCTCTCTCTCTCTCTCTCTCTCTCTCTCTCTCTCTCTCTCTCTCTCTCTCTCTCTCTCTCTCTCTCTCTCTCTCTCTCTCTCTCTCTCTCTCTCTCTCTCTCTCTCTGAAAATAATAATGAATAAATAAATAGATTCATTAATTTCATTAAATATCACACCGGATGGGACAGCAAATAATCGTATTCCTCCTTTCTTGCTGTTACACACAGCATTTCCTATGATAAGTTTTCCACGAACTTGTACAAACGTACTCGTATGTAGTTGTAAGCGTAAATTAAATAAATTTAAAGAAAATCTGAATAAAAAAATAATAATCAGACTCGTAGGAACAGACAAGAGCTACTTCAAATTATACACAATTACACCTTTTTTTACGCTTATGAACAGGTTTTCTCAGACAATCACACAATCAGGTAAAATCAGATACATAAATCTTCCTTAAGAAAGTTAAAGAATAAATAGATATTGTCAGAAACATTAGGGAACACTAAGAATATACACAATTACTCATTTTTACACAATAACACGGTTTTCAGACAATCACAATTACGTGATTCACAAGTACTCAGTGAATTTCTCTTTTACGGATATAAAAAACAAATTGACAAAAAACATTCAGGGATATTAAAAGTATATAAAATTACTCAATTTCATACAATCAGGCAGAAACAAATAGTTATTTAGTGAACCCAGAGTACGTTAAACACCTGAAAATTTATGATAATTACTTCCTTCCTGAAATTCTTTTTAGTTCAGGGTTAAAAAAGGAGAGTCGAGGAAAGGAAAGTTCACCCAGTTCTACCATTTCCCCATTTAGTCATGTAGGGAAAGATTTATTCGTCATATCATGCTTTGACGGTCACTTCCAGGAGAGTGGAAATGGTTATCAACACAAACAAATGATAATAAAAATAATTGATGGTCTGTCGAATTTGATTAATGTACAGCAATTGAAAACTCAAACTCCTGTTTTATTTTACACGAACATCACAGACACCATCTACAGGAAAAATAGTAGTAATATGCAAACTTTTATATTCAGAATCCCTCATTTTGATCTTGCTACTCTGAAAGAAAATGAATTCTATCATATTGATAATAGAGATAATTGAAGATCCATCAATTTTGATTTATGTCCATCGACTAAAAACTGAAATCCCTGTTTTATTATCCACGAGCATTACTTATTTACCGTTTACAGGAAAATATAATAATGTTATGTAAACTTTTATAACTAGAATCCCTTAGCTGTGTCTTATTACAAAGAAAGAAAACAGGCTTTATCTGCAACGTCCTTATGTGCATTTTTTCCCCCAAAAGAAATCGTCGTGCCACGGGACGCTCCGTGTGTGGGACAGGTGGTTTTATTCAATTAGTACGATACTTTGATCCAATGGATTTTCGTACGCCCGACAGCGTCGATCCTCCGCCCACTGACGAAATTAATTACAAGTATTTGGCGCTGTAGATGCAGCCTTATATCATATCATATTGATAGATATATAATTGAAGATCCATTGATTTTGATTAATGAACAGCAAATGAAAACTGAAATCCCAGTTTTATTATACACGTGCATCACAGACTTTCCATCTACAGGGAAACATATATAAACCTTTATATCCAGAATCCCTCATCTTTATCTTACCACTTATCAAGAAAATATATATCACATTAATAATAGATACAATTGAAGATAAAACGGTTCTGACTAATGTACAGTAACATGTTTGTGTACAATAAAGCGGGGATTTCAGCGTTTTATTGTACATGAACATCACAGACTCAACATCACGAAAACATAATGATATATTGTAAACTTTATATCCAGAATCACTTTAATCTTACTACGCAGAAAGAAATATATATCCCCTTTTTTCTCCGCTTCCTCTACACATGACAGGGCGAACAGCTGATCAGTAAGTCCGCGCAAATGACGCAATTACCAAGTCAAATCACTTGCTTACGGCATAAGACGCGAACCAGGGAGAAAGTAAATAAGTCGCGCCACGCCCATCTGCACTCGTATTGCACGCCCGCGACTGCTTGTAATACGACTTTGCGTAATTGATAAATGCTGTAACATTTTATTTTTTGCTCCCTCTCTCTCTTTTTCCATTTTAGATAGTTTTTTTTTTTTTTTTTTTCTTTTACCTCCGCTTTCCGTTCTAGGGTAAATTTTCTTTTGGAATGTCATTTGTAATATCCGTTGCCATAATCATCATTATCATTGCCTTCACTAACGTTAAAGTCATCGTCATATGCTATCACAATTGCCATTAACGCCATCGTAATAATCAAAATTATTATAATTCCATGTTTTCTTTTCGAAGGCTTGTTTTTTATATCCGTCTGTATCTTTCTCATCTTCTTTTTCTTCACCACCACCATAATTAATCCTTCTTTTTCCTTTATTCTTCTTAATCGGCCTTTTATCAGTTTCTTTTATCTCCTGTTCTTAATTTGGTAGGATATCAGTCACACTTCTCCCAGCGTGTGTGAAATCAGAGACAAAAGCGCAGCGCCAAGCGAGACAATAGTGGTAATCGTGGTGGAAATAAAAAGAATAAAAGAAAGGTGAAAGAATGACGAAGGGGAAGAAGAGAGAGAAAATAGATGAGAACGAAGGGTGGAGAAGTAGGAGATAAATATAGTAGGAAAGATTTATGGTTTAAGGAGACGGGGTGTTATATCAATGGCGGATTGTCGCTTTCGGATGCAAGGGCCAATTACGATAACGTTCCCCGTTGCCTAGACAAGAATTAAGAGGGAGTTTTCCTCTCATCTCCCTCTCTCTCTCATTCTCACTCTCACTCACTCTCTCTTCTCTCTCTCTCTCTCTCTCTCTCTCTCTCTCTCTCTCTCTCTCTCTCTCTCTCTCTCTCTCTCTCTCTCTCTCTCTCTCTCTCTCTCTCTCTCTTCTCTCTCTCTCTTCTCTCTCTCCTCTCTCTCATTCACTCACTCACTCACTCACTCACTCACTCACTCTCACTCTATTTCTCCGCCTTCCTATTTCCCTTTCACAAGCCATGTAAAAACTGTGTCACGAACAAGAGCCCGAGTGCCGCTGGATTCCCGCACCAGCGGCGCGGCACCAAAACAATCGGTGTTTTGTGACGCCTTATCCACCGCCTGGACTCGTGTGCGGACGTGCAAGAGCGCCGGGGAGACAGGGCTGCTGGGTCTGTTGCGAAATACGGACGGATTACTTTTTTCGTTTATCCTTGAATTGAGAGTGATGTTTTGTGAGTGAGTTAGGGAGGATGGTCGCAGGGTATCATACCCTGTCCTCTAACCTACATGGTACTTCACCTTCTTATGGTGAATAGCTGTTCGAAGCGTACTTTCGTATATGTTTCAGGACTTTTATTGGTTTCTTTCCAATGCTATGCTATAGTGAAGGGAATATCAAATACCTGAAGGAGTAGAAATCCTTAGTCATCTACATCACAAGTATTCTTTCTGCTTGAACAAAAGTATGCTGAGAAACTGCACAACACATGCAAGCAAATTGCATTGTCGATCCCATTCACCCTCAATTCTCTCACTTTTAGCTTTCTGTCACTGCTTCTGACCACAAACTGCCACTATTGCTTACAATAGAAGTGAATAGACATGCAAGTACACTATACACAAAAAAGTCGCTTGGGCGGATGAAAAAGAAAATGAGGGAGAGAGAGAGAGAAGGTAGAGACACATTTTACATTCAACTCTATTTTATATGATTACACAAAAATCGACATTTAACTTTGCAAATGTGGATAATAGTTTGGGTAGACAATGGAAGGGTTTATGGATCGCAATAAAACAGGCATCCATGAACTAGGAAACCGAGAGAGTGGATATATATAACATTTATTACCACCCGTAACGAGTTCTACGCCAGGTCGTTGGGAGACAGATGACGGGGTATATTGGCATGGGGGAAGGGAAGGGGTATGTCCTTCCCCACCCCCCTCCCCTCAACCAGGGAGGGTGGGGGAGAGATAGTCAGCATCAGGTACACGGTATCTCGCGGTTTTCTCCCGCAGTTCGCCAAGGACCCTGAGTGGGTGTGACTCATGCGCGAGTCACGCCTCCCTTGCGCTGTGGGAATCGTGGCAAACACCCCTCTCCCTCTCCCTCTCCCCTCTCCTCTCTCTCTCTCTCTCTCTCTCTCTCTCTCTCTCTCCTCTCCCTCTCCTCTCCTCTCTCTCTCTCTCTCTCTCTCTCTCTCTCTCTCTCTCTCTTCTCTCTCTCTCCTCTCTCTCTCTCTCTCTCTCTCCTCTCTCTCTCTCTCTCTCTCTCTCTCTCTCTCTCCTCTCTCTCTCTCTCTCTCTCTCTCTTTCTCCTCTCTCACTCACTCACTCACTCACTCTCACTCTCTCTCTCTCTCTCTCTCTCTCTCTCTCTCTCTCTCTCTCTCTCTCTCTCTCTCTCTCTCTCTCTCTCTCTCTCTCTCTCTCTCTCTCTCTCTCTCTCTCTCTCTCTCTCTCTCTCTCTGTCTCTGTCTCTGTCTCTGTCTCTCTCTCTCTCTCTCTTCTCTCTCTCTCTCTCTCTCTCTTATCTCCCAATTATCTTGCCTTAGCCTTGCTTTGTTTTGTATGTGATAAAAAAAAATGTTTATCAGTGAGCTGCCTCGTCTTGTCCCTGTATACACGAAAAATGTTATATTTATCAACCTTCATTATAGAAAATCGTAATGTGAGGTGGGTTTTCCTTGAATCCCATTTTATGCAGCAATGTGGACTTTACGTCTCGTTTCAGCATCGGGATCTTTGCCGTTCTCCGTTTTCTGTTTAGATCAATTTTCATATTTTCTTCCATTGCAGAACCACAAACACCACTCACAGCCTTTCATCACTTCAGTTAAAAAATAACCCGTGGCCTGCAAAACCTTTTTAGTTTTTTTGAAAGTTATATACATATACCTAACTGTTCTCTCTTTCTTTACAGCGTGACAGTTCCGAGGCGAGCACATCCCAGGCAGACATAGAGGATAAGCCGCCCAGTTACGACGCCATCCTGGACTCTGACGGCCTTCCGCCTAACTACTACAGCGTGGTCTCCGAGAAACCTCCGAGGTAAGGCTAGTTTTGTTTAAACCAAGCGCTTGTTCCTTTATTTGTCAAACATTTTTTTATCGTTTCTTTAACCCTATATCTTGCGACCTCCCCTGTAGAATTGCGTTGAGATACTTCTATCTCTTTACGGTTTCCTGTTTATACCTCTAACAGAATTAATCTTTTTGGTTGTGTTTATCTCATGTGGAGGAACGCGCGCTCTGAGGTTCTATCTTTTTGTTTTCTTCTTTTTTTCATCCTTATGTCCATGGTGCAGGTAGTATGATTTCATCTGATATACAGAATAGATGTAAAATATAGGATTATATTATCCATCGCTAGAGCACTTGCCACTTATCCCACCCAGTGAGAATATGTATCCCCCGTGTTCGAGCCCTTCTTGCACCCAAGGTCTATCACGCGGCAAAATCAAGCCTTAAACACCATGCGTAATATCTTTGTTAAGAGCGTTGCTATCTCCCGTCACAGACATGGATAACAGAGGACAAAATAACGGCGATCTTGCATATACATCCACAACTGATATTATTACTATTCATAACACGCTTACGAGGACGCTGAGCAGTAACGCAAGAAATGCTTACTGAATACTGAACGCAGTGCACGCACAAAATGTTCATTAGTATCAATGTTTCTTGTTCAGTGCACCATGATGTATATGCTTACATACATACAAGTACGTGCACACGCATACATACACATAAACATACACGCGCGGCAGGGGAAGTAGAGACAGTACAGACATGTGAATATAATGCAGACACATATGACTGAACTTCTGATAATTTTGCGGTATATGGACTAAATTATTATCATTACACACACACACACACACACACACACACACACACACACACACACACACACACACACACACACACACACACACACACATATATATATATATATATATATATATATATATATATATATATATATATATATACATACTGTATATTCAAGTGAAACATAGCATTATAATGCATAAGTTGGTATTTATTAGGGCATTAATAGTCAGTTTGCATAATTTGCAAAACAAACACGGCTTTCAGTCAACTGATAAACTTTCTATGTACAGATAAACAATGAAAGCTACAAAGACCAGTGCCGATATAACACTAGTCTCTACACAAACATAAATCATATACTCCTGTCACTGAGCAACTTCTCTTTCCCTCCCCAGATATGAAGACATTGTCGGAGGGAAGCGCACAGAAGCGAGCTCGGAGGCGCAGCCCCAGTGTGAACAGAGCCAAGCCTCCCCGGTACCTCCGCTCGAGATCATCCAGACTCCGGCAGAGGTCAACGTCGTCCTGCAGGAGGGACAGCCCAAGAGCATCGTCCTAGACCACAGAGAAACGTCCTCCGCCGCCGCTGCACCGAAGGACGTTGTTAGCAAGCTCGGGTGTGAGAATCCCTCCTTCGACAGACATGAGACTGAATTCGCGGAGGCTACGTGCACTCGCCTCAACGAATCGGAGTCGTAGGAAGATCTAGTGCAAAGTGTCGGGTTTAATCGGGAACGTCCAAGAAGATAAAAGGCAATGCCGGCCGCCCAGTTTGATATTTGTGCAATAATACTTGTAACAACGAAAGGGAGAGAGGACTTGCAGTAGGCCATGACTGCCTTGTCCTCACAGACGCAAGACCTGTGACGATAGCCTGCATGGCTCTCTAATTCTTAGAGAAACAGAAAGACCTGTGACGATAGGCCTACATACTTTGTTCCTAGTGACATAAAAGACCGTACAGAGACGTTGAGATAAACCTTTAAGATTGTCTCGTTCTTAGAGACCTATAAGACCTGTGACCATAAGTCTATATGAGTCTCTTTCAAGGCTCGAAGGACCTGTGACGATGGGTCACAGGACTTCATAGACACAAACATTAATGATAGGCCTATATTACTGCCTCGTTCCTAGAGACGTAAAGGCCTTCAAGACTGTCCTCTTCCTAGACATAAGATCTATTACGATAGGGCTATATGACTGTCTCGTTCCTAGAGACCTAAAAGACCTGTGACCATAGGCCTGTATGATTTGTCTCGTTTCAAGAGGCGTAAAAGACCTGTGACGACAGGCGTACATGAATACCTTGTTCCTAGAGAACGTAAAAAACCGTTGAGATAAACATATATGCTTGTTTCGTTTCTAGAAACATAAGAATGCCTGTTATGATAGGTCTGTATGACTCGTTCCAATGATTGTCTCGTTCCAAGAGGCGTAAAAAGACCTGCGATGAATCCTACATACTGCAAATGCCTTGTTACTAGAGGAACGCAAAGAGAGGTGGAGATAGACCTATATAACTGTCTCGTTTCTAGAAACTTAAGAAGACGATAGGCCTGTATGACTGTCGTTCCTAGAGACGTAAATGACCTGTGACGATAGGCCGTGTGATTGCCGATTGCGCGTCTCGGGTCGCGCGATGAAACTAGTCGTGTTCCTTTAGTCAATGAGGATTATTTACACACACTTACTTTTAAACCATTAACTTTATTGTGGCCAGTGTTAAGGAGATCTTTGTTGTAGTCTTTGTAATATAGTACTGCATTTCATTATGTATTAAAGTACCTGTCTTTATGATTCAGTGATCTAATGCATTTATTGTATTATTATATATGTAATATTTTATCTGTTATATTTATTAATACTTTTGAAAGAAAAGTTTGTAACCAAAACAAAGCGAAATATATGGATATCATCACCTTGCAAAGTATCTGAAAACCTGTATGTATCATACAATGTAATTTCTACACATCTATATTATTGCAATCATGAAAACGCATCCATGCAAGCAATATCTATCACCCTCGTTATGAAAGAAAAGCTTATCAATTGTGCAGATTTACGATGTTTTCGCATAAGACTGTGAATATAAATTAAGTTCTGCGACTCCTGTTTGGCCAATAGAACGATGAAGGTTTTCTAATCCTTGAAATTAAGGAAAAATCGAGTAAAAAGTGAAGAAAAAGGACAAAGTCCCGGACATGTGAGAACAACAAGTGTTTGAAAGGCGTGACGTGATATAACAAAAAAACGTTGGAAGGAAAATAAACATTTTTAAGGGAAAAAATACGAATATACCAACAAGATTCCAAGAATTTGCAAGGAAGATTGATACCTATTGTCTTCGTGATTTCCGACAAGGTCTCCAGCTGGTTGTGATACTCGCTCTAAGTTTAAGTAATTGCTACTATATTTGTGATAGACATTTTCTAATTAATAAAAAATAAAGATAAAAAAATACATATCTACTATGGTTGTTTTTGAGCCTCCTTTCCCACCCGAGTTCATTAGCCACACATATATAACGGTAGAAAGGCAATCATTGCAAATTGCAGGATGAAAAGCGATGATGCCGAATGCACAACCACATGTTCCGGGGCAATCATAGCAAATTGCAAAACTGAGAGCAATGACACTGCATTATACGCTAGGTGCATCAGAATGGGGAAATGCATATCTGGATTATTTGATGATTTTCCTTCTGCAAAATACCAGTCCTCTCTTTCAAAGTCATCCGAATCATTTTACTCGAAATCTGTTTACATGCAAAGCTCTCTTCATCCTCATAGAAGTGCACATTTTTCATTATAGCACACAGGATATTACGCTGTCATTCAAGTTTACCGTTTTAGTCATCACGAAGTTATTACACAAAAAGCAACCCGGTTTTAGAGTCAGCTTCCTATGATAACGCTCCGCTGTAGTCATCTTTTTTTTCTTTTTTTTTTGTATATTTTTTATTGCAACGCTCCTAGCAACACAGGAAGTTAGTCATTAGCTTTAGGAACCCGGGAGAAATTGTCTAAAGGAGGAGGAGAAGAAGGAAGGGTAAGAAGACGAAGAAAAGAAAAGACAAAAGGAAAAAGAAATAGAGAGAGAAAACAAATAGAAATAGATAAAACAGGAAAACAGGGAAAAAAGAAGGATATAGAGAAAAAGAAAGAAAGAAAAGGAAAGGGAAGAGAAAGAAAGAGAAAAAGTAAAAAATAGAAAAAGAAAACAAAAGAAAGATGGTGATTAAGAAATAACGAGTACATTCATGGTTTATACACCTTAAAAATTCGGAAAGATACAGTTATACACTTGACTGCAAATACATCTCTATAAACATAAGTAGCGTAGAAGGAGGCACAACTAAAGAAAGTATATCTGTAAATGTGAGAAACCGAGATAGTGTGGCTGACGTGTGTGTGAATGTGTGAATAGGTGGGAATGTGCATATTCACACACACGATAAATATATACACATACACATTCACATACACACACACACACACATATACATATACATACTAAAACACACATACCCACCCACATATACATACAAATACACATACATACATATACACACGCACACACACATATACATACAAATACACATACATATAAATATATATATATAATATATATATATATATATATATATATATATATATATATATATATTATATATATACACACACACACACAGACACACACATATATGTATGTGTGTGTGTGTGTGTTAGTGTTTGTGTGTGTGTGTGTGTGTGTGTGTGTGTGTGTGTGTGTGTGTGTGTGTGTGTGTGTGTGTGTGTGTGTGTGTGTGTGTGTGTGTGTGTGTGTGTGTGTGTGGTGTGCACGCGCGCGCGCGGAGAGTCGCTTCTACTCGCAGGCATTCAGCATTGCCATGAGTTCTTTCTCTCTCCACTCCTCGCAAACCTGTTTATAGAATACTCCGAGTCTGAGCTGCTCTTTCCACCTCCCTTCGTCCAAGGTCTAAATAAGTACTTATATATACCTTGCCTTCGTCCACCTACTTGGCTGAGTTGCGTTGACGAATTCATTGCTCTCTGGCCTTATGACCTGCCTTCTTCCCGGATTTTGGGAGCTGAACTTTTCCGTTTTGAGGTGCTATGGGAGAACAAACCTTGTGGTACCTTGATTATTCGCTCTGCTGACCATTTCTCCTCAGTGGAATAAACATACACTGATTCTCGTACTCTCTCCACTCCTTGTCAAGAAATGTGTTGCCATTTCTCTGTTTCTCCGCATCCTAAATGTCTCTCTTGGATCCATGAGGAACAACAACAACGCCATTTCTGCCATGAGCGGGACACGGGTCATCATAATGGTATGGTCAGGAGCACGTATTGTCTCTCCTTCCGCAAAGGTCCTCGCCCGCAGACTGGTGGAATCCTCCTTGCTAAAGTAGCTGCCGAAATTAATACTGATATTAATTCTTTCCTGCCGACTGTCTCCTCGTTTCCAAAACCCTGCGCTTTCTCCCTTATGCCGGCCACTCTTCGCCGTTCGTTTAACCGTGTTGCTTCTCCCCTCTTCCACTTATACTCCTTCCTCTTAATTTCCCCTTCAGACCAATTGATGAAAGCCAGTATTTCTAAATTGTTTTCTCTTTTCAATAAATCTAGTTTGTGCACTATTTTTTCTCTATCACTATATCAATACGGTAAAGTGTTTTGCCTTTCACACACAAACACGCATGCATGCACGCACGCACACACGCACGGTGTGTATGTGTGTTTATAAAATAAATAAACACACACATGCACACACCTACGCACACACATGCACACACACACAAGCACACATGCATGCAAACACATACATACAACACACACACACACACATGGATACACACACACACACACGTACCCACACATGCATGCAAACACACATACACACACAAGCACATGCACACACATGAATACACACACACACACACACGCACAACACACACAACACACAC